TTTTTTAATTTTTTTTTTTAATTATTTTTTTATTTCAGCAGGATTGGATAAGCTGGTTAGACCTACTGGAGTTAATTTACTCTTCAGCCAGGAAGATAAACAGTTCTGTGGAGTGGGAGCAAGCAGGCAAGCAGCAAATACAGAGCAGGCAGAATTCACTGGCTTTTAATTCAAACCTGTTTGGGGGTGCAGAGAGCCCCACCCAGGGCTTCAGCAAGCTGGGAATCACAGGGAGGGAAAGCAGGAACAGGAAGACTCAATAAGCAGAACTAAAGCTTCGATTATAAATAATGAATCACAAAAGAGGGGCTAGAGCAAGGCCCTGAAGTTCTCGAGGAACAAAGAAATTAAATCTTCTCGTTAAGGTGTTTTTAAAACCCAGCTCAGTTTTAAAACCCTTCCCAGCACGTCCTGCCAGCAGAAGTCTTTGGGGAAGCAGAGGTTTTTGTTTTTCAGAGTGGAAGGAACAGTGAGGTCTGGATTTGCCAGGCTCAGACCTGCGGCGAGAGGCGGCTCCTGTGGGATGCAGGGATCGTGGGGGGCTCTCAGGGGATCCTGAGGGGTTCCTGCCAACAGGACCCACCCCACCACCTCTCCTTGTGCCAGCACACACCGGCCCTGCCCGTGGCATTGCTCGATTCCTTGGGGAGCCAGAGGTGAGGATGAGTTTTGGTGCTGTCTCCGGAAGGGGAAGGCTCAGCTCCGGGATTCAAAGTGCTTCATTTGTTGTCTGGAAGTGCAGGAGTTTGATGGGGAAGGAAAACCTGGGCAGAGATGGCCAGACCTGGCACTGCCACCTTCCCATGGCACTGGGGATATTCCCATTCCCACAATTTAGCCTGGAGTGATGGGAAGGAGCAGCTTAAAATGTCCTGGGGATGAACGATGGGCTGCAGGTAATTCCTCATGGATATTGGAGCTCTGGGAATCACACCTGGGGATTTTTGGTCCACGTGAAGGACAGAGGCCTTTTCCAGCAGCTTTGTTTCCTCCATGCCATTTTGGAAGAGTTTTTCAGGAAGTGGTTCAGGTTGAGCTATAAGGTTCTGCTTCTGGATTCAGAAAAAAATTTGGGAGCAAGGTACACAGCATTGGAGATGAGGATTTTCCTTGGGTTATCACTGGACACAAAGTAAAATTATGGCACAAAGTTAAGATATTATCCACATTATCCTGAGGGATATTATTATTCCACTTATCCTGAGGGCTCACACCAGTACAGGGCAAGCATCACCTATGGCAAACTTTAAAGCTTTTTGTCTATATATGTAATATTTGCTATTTTTGTTCAGCTCCCCACCTGGAAATTCCCCAAGTCAAACGGACCTTTCTGCTTGTAAATACATTCAAAAATGGACCAGACGTTTGTTGCTATTTTTATGCCCAAAACCCTCCTGCCCTTGCATCATTCTGTGAATGTTGGGGTAGGAGTCTGAGCTGATTCCCACCACTGAGTGAATTTGTTTGGTTAAAACTGTGGGGAAGAAAGAAGAGCTCGTGTGTGCCTGAGATCTCTGGAGCTGGCATTCCCAATTCTGCAGTTTTCAGCTATGAAGAGCCAGGTTCAAATGTTACACAAGGCTGTGGGCTGAATATCAAAACCCCTGGATTCCAGCCCATTCCAGGAGTGCCAGCTTTAGAACAGAAACCTGTGGATTAAGGTGGGACTGCTGTTTCAATTTTAGCAGACAGCTGAGATTATGTGTTAGAGCTGCTTGGCGTAATCTCTTCCTGAATCAGAGCTGGAATCCTACCAGCACGGGAAAGTGCTCTGCTACAGGAAATCAGGGAGTTCAAGGAAACCTTGGCAGATCTTCACCTCATCTGAAGCAGAAACTGAGTGAATATTGCACAAACTGCATAGAGAAAAAAGGGATTCTATTGCTCTCCCAATTGTGTTTTTACTCCTTTAGAAACCCTGGGAGTCTGCCCCTGCTTATGGCTATTGCAACCCTCTGCTGCTCCACAGCCTGCAGGAATTTCTAGCCAGACCTATTTCCACTTTGTTTTATTCACCTTGCTGTGTTTTATTTACAGAGATATTGCAAAACATCATGTGAAGTGAGTACAAGTAGCAAGTACAGCGTGGGTTTGGCAGTGCCAGATTCAGCGTGGTGAAACGATGCTCTTGTGGGGTTTCAATTCCTAGAATCCAAGGAAAAATAGACAGCAGAGAGTAAGGGCTGCTGGAAACATCCAGACCTTTCCAGAGTCCAGCTTGGACACAGGAGCTGGTCCAGGTAGGGGCTTTCTTGGGATTTTATTCTGGCTTTTTCCAAAATGCACAGTTTTGTCTCCTTGACTGTTGATTTAAGTTAGGCACAATGTTATTCTGCACTCTCTGGGGAGAGTCAGAGGCAAATCAGACCCGAGGCTCTCCTTGGGGCCCCTGATTTAGGTGAGAAGAGCCAGCCCTGGCCTGGCTGGCGTGCTCAGGGTGCCTCCCCTGGCACAGTGTCCTCGTGTCTGTACATTCACCACGCTGCCACCCCTCCCCTGGCCTCACCCTGGGCAGAGCCTGGAGATGAGATGCTGGTGGGCAGAAATTGCTGATGGGAGATGAGGGGGTCCTGTTGGATGTACACCATGCAAGACAAGGTTCCACTCCTTGAGTTTCTCTCTCCATCTCTTTTTTTTTCTTTTTTTTCTTTTTTTTTTTTTTTTTTTTGCTTGGGCCCCAAAATCCCTCCTTTTTTT